TCCAGTCACAAATCCAAGAAAGTTTTTAGTAAATAAATTCAGTCAAAAATATAAAAGAACAAGGATAACAAATTTTAAAATGGAAGATTTCTTACAGGGGAATGAAATTAAAGTGTTATAAAGTGCTATAAGTAAAACAGTAAGACAAGAAAAACAGACCAATGGAACAAAACAGGCCAGATACAGAAGTGACTGTCAGTAACTTTCAAACTCCTGGATATAAAATAATTTCTCTAATTTTACAAGTGATGAAGTAAATCTCAAAAAAAAAAAAAAAGACTGACAAATCAGTTAATATAAATATGCTACAAATTTAATTAAAACTTTTTGAATTTTTATGGATAAAATAATAACAACAACATTACAGGCAAACAACAAATAAGAGAATTCTGTGACATGAATATGAAAGACAGAGGGCTAAAATCATTATAAAAGGAGATCTAAAACAAATAAGAAAATCATGAAGAAATAATGTATACATATTAGAAAACCACAAAGGAGGAAATATAGTTAAACACATAGTAAATGTTTATTTTCTATAATGGGAACACACAAAGTTAAAAATGAAGGACTATTTTGCTCATGATGTAACATAGTTTCTTTGTTATTTTGAGAAAATTCTATCTATTGATGGTGGGATGCAACAGGCTCTCTCTTTTCTTATTGGTGGGATTGGGCAACATGGATCTAGAGCCTGTAAATATCATAACCTCTGACTCAGTAATTCTATCAGTTTGTCCTAAGAAAATAAACTAATAATGGTTATCTTTACAACTTTTTTTTTTTCACATTTCAACATCTCTAAAATATGCATGTGTCTTAATAATTGATGGAACCTTATACTAACTGGCAGGGTTTTTTTGTTCATTTATTTGCTTTCTTTCTTAGTGGTACATAAAGTGTATGCATTACAACCAATGACTTCTTAGATTTGATGGAATACAGTATATGGCCATGAAAATGTTTACAAAGAATGTGAAATAAAATGTACAGGCTGCTAAAAGCACCATCCCGTAATATAGAGTATAATGACAACTACATAAAAGCAAGCAAAACCACAAATGCACAAAACTTACGCAGAAAGAAGTAATTTTAAAAAGTTAACAGTGATTGCCTCTGGGTAGCTGGATTATGAATACTTAATTTTCTTCTTCCTTCAAATGTTCTCTTTTTTTCTTCAAACTTTAATAGATCATGCACATGCTTTTACAATGGAAACACCTTCTCATAAATGAAAGTTTTAATGACTAAATAACTGCTTTTTAAAGTTCAAACTGTGGAATATCTGATCATCATGTCTTTTCAAACCATTAGTCAAACAAATGATTTCTGTTACTCTGGCTATGAAATTTCACTAAAGAGTTGTACTTGGCTTAGATCCTGGAGAGAAAGCCAAAAAAAAATTATTCAGCTCTGCTCCCAGGCAACTCTGTAGACTTTTAGTAGATTTTGGCAGCATTCCTTTTCCTAAGACACAGTGAAATAGTTCATATTCCTAATTTACGTGTGTACGCCTCTACAGATGACCCAATGTCAGTCACTCCAATGACTCATCTAAACATGTTTATGATGTAAGTGGAGAGGAGTGCATTTGAAGGGGGACGGAGAAGCTAGGAGAAGAGGTCATTTGGGGCCTTAAATGCCCTCACGGTATCTTTTAAAGTATTTTAAAGGGGAATAAGTGGCTAATGTCTGTCTAGTCAAAGCTATAGTTTTTCCAGTAGTCATGTATGGATGTGAGAGTTGGACCATAAAGAAAGTTGAGTGCCAAAGAATTAATGCTTTTGAACTGTGGTGTTGGAGAAGACTTTTGAGAGTCCCTTGGACTGCAAGGAGATCAAACCAATTAATCCTAAAGGAAATCAGTCCTGAATATTCATTGGAAGGACTGATGCTGAAACTGAAGCTCCAATACTTTGGCTAGCTGATGCGAGGAACTGACTCACTGGAAAAGACCCTGATGCCGGGAAAGATTGAAGGCAGGAAGAGAAGGGGCGGGCAGAGGATGAGATAGATGGTTGGATGGCATCACCGACTCAGTGGACATGAGTTTGAGCAAGCTTCAAGAGTTGGTGATGGACAGGGAAGCCTGATGTGCTACAGTCCATGGGGTTGCAAAGAGTCAGACACGACTGAACTGAACTGAACTGAACTGAAATAGCTGATGAGTATTTCTAGGCTTTTATGTCTAACCTCCAACTGTACTGTTCAATAACAGTTCTAACTTCAAAGGTTTTCCACGAAATCTTAAGGGAGTGGGAAGTTTATCTCTGAAGACAAGAAAAGTCTCAGGATTTCCATGGGTAAAACCATATCTTCTGTCCATCAACTGATGAATGAAAAAAGAAGCTGTGGTAACTATATACAATGGAATACTACTCAGACGTAAAAAGGAACGAACCTGATTCAGTTGTAGTGAGGTGGATGAACCCAGAGTCTGTCATACAGAGTGAAATAAGTCAGAAAAATGAATATCACATATCAATGCCTATATATGGACTCAAGAAAAACGGTACTGATTAACCTGTTTGCAGGGCAGGAATAGAGACACAGACATAGAGAACGGACTTGTGGGCACAGCAGGGGAGGGGGAGGGTGGGACAGAGAGCAGCACTGACGTATGTACACTACCATGTGTGAACTAGGTGGCTAGGGGGAGGTGGTTGTACAGCCCAGGAGTTGAGCCTGTTGCTCCGTGATGACCTACAGGTGTGGGAGGGAGGGGATATACATATGTATACAATGATCCTCCAATTAAAATAATTTTTTTAAAAATGAGTCTTTTTTTCCTTCATATAGGTTTATTTTATAATCAGCGATAAGTTAAGAGGGAAACATTTCCAAAAGTCTTCCATAGAGCTTGCTAATTTAAACTTAAGTCACAGTTACCTTCTCTCAACTAAAAAAAAATTAAACCACCACATTAAAGAAAATTTCAGGAAAGTTCAGAAATCCCCATTCTTTCATCTTTTATTCCAAATATGACTCACAGATAGAAATAATGCAATGAAACAGTACATCCATGGGGGAAAATAATTGGGCCAATAAGTTTCATTTTTTAAAAATCAATGGGATGGGTACTTTCCTGGCAGTCCAGTGGTTTAGAATATGCCTTCAAAGGCATATCAAACATGGGTTTGATCCTTGGTCAGGAAACTAAGATCTCACATGTCTTGGGGCAACTAAACCTGCACACCGAATTGAAAGATCCCGCGTGCCATAGAGAAGATCCCATGTGTAGCAAGACCCAGATGCAGTCAAAAATAAATAAACACATAAGTAAATAAATATTTTTTTAAAAAACCAATGGGATGGAGATTACAGGGGTGTATATATTCCTCAACATTCAGTGAAATATTCTCTTAAAATGGGTACATTTGAATAAATGTAAATTTTAAAATAAAAAGGTACACATAAAAGTTCTACTGTATTTGTTATATCCCAAATAGGCCCCTCTGAACTGCAAAATCATAACTTAGAATTGCCTTCCCAGATATAATAAATTGCAAAGCATATCATTATTGTTATTATGCCATTATTTGTTGAGTTGAAGTAAGAGTGATATGTAATATTTATGTAATAATATGTCTGAAGTTGATACCTTACTTCAGAATGTCCCATGTACTCAAGATCCCAAGCTTGTGAATTACCCCCCTCATCACCATCCCTACTCATTCAGGGTTGTCGCTAAGTTACACCATGGTCTTTTCTTCTTCTTTTAACAGTTAGGCCTATTCTGTACTACTATTGCTTTGTTTGCTCCTTAAAATTCAAGTCTTGACAGGCCATCTCTTTCTCATAATGAAAACTGTGTGCCCCTAAACCCCTTTCCCTTTTGGGGCACATTGGAAAAACTACTCAGTTCCATTTTTGTAAACCAAAGAAAGAGTTCAGTCCCCATGTGGTCAGTATTTATTAGCTACCTACTTACGTGCCAGATACTGGGCTAGATCTTAGAAATGGCTGATAGGTATAAAAGCAATGGCTAGAAGTATTTTTTAACAAGGAAAAGAAAAATCACTGATTTTACTGTGAGATTAGGTCTCATAAACAGTGTAGTTGCTCTTAAAAGTACATAGAAATGCTATTTATAAACATATTGCTTTTTCTTCAAGTATCAATATTTAGGAAAAATAAAAATGTCTTATTCAACCCTGAAGTGTTTTTAGATTTAGTTTCACCAGTTTTTGTTGTTGTTGTTCAGTTGCTAAGTCAAGTCCGAATCTTTGCAATAACCGATTTTCTAATATTTTTCAGGGTGGCAATGGTTTTTCTCTAGTGTGAATAAAATATAATCTTAGACATAATAAAATCAAGCAATCATTTGTTAAATCTTTTCCCAGGGAAGATGGTGCCCAAATTCCCAACAACCCACTCACAAATAAATTTCTAAGGTACAAAACACTTGGAATATGAGGATGACTTATTCCCTATTTCTATATATTTACAATCCTATAGGCTTAAGAAATGGTGCCACTACTAAGATAATATCAATGAGATACTAGTTTAAAATAAAAGCTTACTCTGAAGATTGTGAAGCTATGTGCAATTCTTCCATCAGTCTAAGCACTGAGTGTGGGGAATTCTGTAAAACTTGGTTTGTGATATAAATATAATTGCTTTGGATTTACTTTTGACTTCAAGAACAAGATATTAGTTCAGAAAAGGTCTCCACAGACCAGCTAGGTTTCTTCTTATACACAGGTCAACAGGTTTAAAACAAAACAAAACACACACACACACAAGCCCATGAAACAAAACCTGTTCTACAGGCTTCTGAACACATACAGGAAATATTAGAGAAAGTACAGCCAGTTTATATTATACCTAGAGTACAAAGCCTTTTAATTGTTCACTAACACTCTGCTTAAGTTTTCACTTCTAAGTTGTTCTGCCTTAAAGGACTCACTTGAATCAATAACTAAGGACATCTTTTTTGAGGCTGGCAGAATAGATTAGAAACTTTGCTTAGAAAGATGCATCTTTAAGCAATGACTCACTTTAGCAGCTAACAATACATACTTCCTTCTTCCCACAGAAGAACGATTACATGCCTTCCATCGATGCCTTTAAAAAGACGTGTAAAATTAGCATACAATTTCCCCTGCTAAGATTGTAAAATGAAGTTTATTGGAATGTGAATAAAGATTTTAAGAGTTTACTCTTTTTTACTCTGCTCTACTGCTTACATACATAAGTGCAACTGGTTAAAATAGTTCTTCACCAGAACAACAATATTATAAGAGAGTTTGGTACCATCTAGAGAACAAAATAACTGGTCTTATTCCTTATTCCTTCATTTGAAAGGTGCATTCACTTTGTATCAAATGGTAAGTTTGAGATGTAAATTATCTAATTTTTATTTTCACTATAGAACTTTGAGTCTAACTGAAGCATTCAACATTCAAATTTCACATCCCTTTAATTAATGGCATCATTAACATTCCTAATTGAATTATGAGGGAATGCTGCAATTTATAATAATTGACACCATCAAACATCACAATGATCATATTAAATTTACTGACAATAAACAGAAAGAGGTAACTTTGGAATTTTCATTCAGTTGAAAGAGAAACATGAAAAATGGTATCCTGCCACTGTTTTATTTTTGGAAACACTCTGTAAATAAAAACCCATTTCCAAAATAAGATATTCCATGGACACAGAATAGTTGGTAATGATTCAAGTGCCTTAGGCAACAGAGAAGTATTGTTTTGTAGTTGTTGTTTTTTTAAACCTCTCCTAGTAACAGCAGTTCATCATGCACAAAGAAACGAGGTAGCAGCTTGGTTTATAAAACAAATTTATAAGCAGTAACTGTAAAAGCTCAACTAAACGAAAGTTTATCATATTAATTCCATTTCTGTGAACCAAGATAGGTAACCTGGTTGATACTCACCCAATGTTATAGAAAAGTCCAGGCTTATCTAAGCAGCAAAAAGTAGACCCATGGTGAGGTGCTGAAGACAGCTCTCTCTGGGGCTCCAAGCACTTTAGATGAAGTAGCCTTTATCTTCCATTTAACAGAGGGTGCCTCCTATTACCAAAGCATGGCAGAGAAAAGACTTTCCATGATCTGTCTTGACTTCTGTCTTTGAAGAGTAACAGTTACCACCGGAAAAGGTTAGCAGAAAATGCTCACTGAACACTCACACGGGGCAGCTGTAAATTTCCACTCTCTTTGCTTGCTCTCAGATTCCCAGCCTTGCTTGTCTCTTAATCTGTCACAGGCAGTTCTGTTTCTGGTCAAACCAGCTTGCTGGTGCTTTCTCCTCTGCTCTAATGCACGCTTTTAGACACACACCACAGTCACAGCTCGTCTTTCCCTCCCTCCCTCAAAATCATGCAATGTCACAAGAATGTGTGTAAAGCAATTAAGTTGAGGCAAATTTAATTCTTGGCCAAAAAAAAAAAAAAAGTCTAGGGATAAACAAAACTTTTTTCTCATCACATTTTTTTCCCCTCTAAGTCCTATACTTGCATGGGGTTTTGTCAACAGATTAAATTGCCCTGACCATCTTGTTTCAAAATGTAAATAACAAAGGCATGTTGATAGTGATAACAGATTTATCTGCCAATATGCTAGTTCCTCTGGGCAGATGCTATTTTCAATCATAATAAGAAAGTGTAGGAAGTAAATACACCAATATTAGTAATTTAATCTGGAGATTTAAAAAGCAAAGGAGATGGGGGGTCAGTAATGCAATGGATAATGCATCTGACTATAGATCAGAAGATTCTTAAAAAAGCAAGGGAGGTGTTACAATGAGTATTCATAATTTCAATGTAATATTGTGAAAAAATTTTTTTAAAACATGGCATATTTTGAAATTTAGCATCAATATTAGTTATGCAAAGGAAATTACATAGAACATAGAGAAACAACACCGATTACAAAATGGTTTATACCATTCATGTGCAAGCCAAATGTAATTATTTGGTGTAGACTGTCTCCCCATCCCTCCCTACCTCATCACATGCAAGCACTATTGGTCAGGATATGTAACACTCCTTCAGTGAGAATTTTAAAAGCTAAAGGCTACAAAAAACATTTTTTCATTATTATACATGTATAATTATAGAGCAAACTGTCTTTTTTTGGAGGGGTGCTATGCTGTGTGGCATGTGGGATCCTAGTTCCTTGACCATGGATCAAACCCACACTCCCTGGAGTGGAAGCATGGAGTCTTAAACACTGGACCACCAGAAAAGTCCAATTATCAATTTTGAGAGAAGGAGGCTCATAATATTCACTTTCAATGATGGCAAATGAGAGACTGGGTTTTTTTGGTAGGGGAATTCTTCCTTTCCTTTTGACTATCACTATTAGGTTCACAAATTTTCATACACTTAATATGCTTCAGTCAATTACAGGCACTATTCTTTTTGCTGCTGTCCTTGTAGCCTGTGTTTTTGCCCCTACCAAAAGCATGGTCTGAAGCAAAAAGCTCATGTAATATTATTTTAATAAGAAATCCAATCACAGTGAGCAGGAATGAGGGAATATGGAAATAAAGCAAAGGAGGACAGCCAATATGACAATGCCTCATCAAGCTGGCCACCTGTTAAATCTATCAGACTGAGCCTCTCAGAAGCCATATAAAGTGCATTTCAGGATCACCCCTAGGCCTTGGGGGTGGGAGGGTGGAAAAGGAAGGGGAAGAATTTACCTATGGCTCTCATCTTTTCTTGATCAAAGGCTTTCCCCAAAGGGCATTAAGTCCCCTACCCTTGAGTTTAACTCCTCTGTTCTTCTGGGTTGCACAAGTGTGGGTCTGGACATTGAGTAGACCTCATACCAGTGGCCAGAGGGAAGCCTTGGGGCAGGTAGCAAAGGCCTTGCAGAATGACGAGGGATGAAGTTAAGAGATTGTGCCTGTATGAGGGTTCGCACAGAGCTGAAATGAGACAAGCCAGTCCCAGAGGATCTGCAATGGTATACGTTGTTGTTTAGTTGCTCAGTTGTGTCAGACTCTCTTGTGACCCTATGGACTGTAGCCTGCCAGGCTCTTCTGTCTGGGGGATTTCCCAGGCAAGAATACTGGATAGGGTTGACATTTCCTTCTCCAGGGGATCTTCCCAACCCAGGGACCATGTTTCCTGCTTTGGCAGGCAGATTTTTTTTTACCACTGAGCCACGTGGGAAGCCCTGTAACAATAGATAAGACAAATCTAAAACAATTGTTCAGGGACTTCTTTAGAAGTCCAGTGATTAAGACTCCTCCTTCTACTGCACAGGGCACAGTTTCGATCCCTGGTCAGGAAACTAAAAAACCTGTATGTCACTCCGCGTGGCCAAAAATTTAAACACACACACACACACACACACATATAAAACAATTGCTCGAATTTCCCATATGAGTTCATTATCTTTTACTCAAAATCCTTTGACTCAAATTCTACCCAGGTAGAACTCTGTGAAATCACATATTACTCCATTTCAGTGATTATGATCATTTCATTTACCCACAACTTTGCTTATTTACAGTATCATGAGGAGGGTGACTTAAAAACTGGCAATTGGAAGTGATATCTGGAAGGTCCTAAATAAGACTTTTTTTCTCTTTTTTTCTACTTTATTTATATCATTGGGTCAGTCAACAAGTTTTACTGCAAGAAGGCAGAAATTTTACAGTCTCCTTTCACCTTATCTTGCATGCATTTTTCTAAAAGACCTCTTATTAACTAAATTCCTATTTATTAGTTCTGTACATCACTCCATTTCCCATGGTCCATATCTTTCTGTATTTAACTCTCTATAGAGAGGGGTCAGCCTCTATTTTCCTCACAGTCTTCCCTCCTGATCAATAACACTGTATTTACCTAAACAGATAAGAAAGTTTATTTTGTGTTTGCTTTAATTATACTTCTAAGGTTGGTGATGGTAAAATAAAACAAGAACTCTAGTACTTCAACACAGAGTGTAAATTAACATAACTTTTCCCTGTAGGGATATTAACAGTAAGTTGCAAAAGACTTAAAATATTCATATTCCTTTTCATTTAGTAATTCAGTGTCTACAAATTCATTCTAAGAATAACAAATATGCAAGGAAGCGTATGCAGAGATATTTATTGTACTGTGTGTGCTCAGTCGCTTCAGTCGTGTCCAAGTCTTTGTGACCCCATGGACACACAGCCCGCCAGACTCTTCTGTAAACTGGATTTCTCAGGCAAGAATACTGGACTGGGGTGCCACCCCCTCCTCCAGGGGATCTTCCTGACCCAGGGCTCAAACCCGCACCTCCTGCATTGCAGGTGGATTCTTTACCACTGAGCCACTACTACTACGTATAGCAAACACCCCTCCCCACAAAGTCCAAAACTACGTGATTGACTATATTTAATCATTGGATTCCATGTAGCATGGGCATTGACCAACCGAAGCAAGTGTACAAACAACTGGCATAGTCTCAGGCCATTCAGCATACCTGCTGAATACTGAGTGGAGTGCATTCATTCATACAGAATATCATAGTCAAACTGCTTAAGAATATTTAAAGAAATAGGGATATATTTATTGCATAATATCAAGTTAAAAAATCCAAGATCCTAAGCTTAATAAAGAATATGAGCTCCCAATTTTTGTTCTATTTTTTCCATAAACATTTCTTTTTATATGGATATGGAAACAATACCAAGTGTTAACGTGAGTTGGAACACTGGTAATTTTTTTTTTAATATTTAAAAAATTTTTTTAATATTTCTTTTTATTTACTTATTTGTTTTTTAACTTGGCTGTGCCAGGTCTTAGCTGCCACATGTGTGATCTTTAGTGGAGGCATGTGGGAATTTTGTTTTTTTAGTTGCAGCAGGTGGAATCTAGTTCCCTGACCAGGGATGGAACTTGGGCCCCTGCGTTTGGAGTGCAGAGTCTTAATCACTGGACCACCAGGGAAGTCCTGGAACATTGGTGATTACATTCATATATTCCAGTGTTTTCCAAATATTCTACAATTAACACATACAATCAGTTTCACTACAAAACAAGGTAAGTATTCCTAAAAATCACCACGTCACACAGCTCTGTATCATGTAGTAAGAACCACAGGAATTGTGGGGGAAATTGGGTTGGAGCTCAATACTCAAAAATGTCATCGGAAACATACTTTTTTCTCTTAAAGTAGGAACCTAATAAAAATAACACTTTTTTTTTCAACAGCACGTGGTTTAAGAAATACATTAAATAAATATGGCATAAACAAATACATAAAATAAATACCACAATAAATATGGCATTTTTCCTTGAAAAAGACCTGATATTTGCTTGTGGAGGTGGATGTTAGAAGATTTACAGCTTGTGAATTATTTCAAAAGTGGAAATAGAATTTATCTTGTTGATAGCCATACCACCCTGAATGCACATGATCTCATCTCATCTTGGAAGCTAAGCAGGGTTGGGCCTGGTTAGTACTTGGATGGGAGGATTGTCTGTTATCAGCTGAAAAGTTGTAACATCAAAGATGGATGAATGTGACTCACATAACATGAGGTATACAAGAGACGGCTGGTATGTGTTTGAGATGTGTGCATGTCTATGTTTTGTGTATTTCTCCATGCCTTGGCTCAGCTGGGTGGCTTTCTGCATTCATGAAACTGTACAAAAGCAAATGAGGAATCTGTATTATGTTCAAATGTTTCCTAATACATCAATCATATTGGAACAAATTTGTGTTTTCAAAACGTGTTAAAGCGGAAATGACTGTTACTTTCACCACCATAAAATATATATATATATATTTGAATATGCTAACAAGTATTGTGAACTTATTGCTATTATTTTGCTAATTTGGGCAACTAAACATTTTTTAAAGTGGTATTTACCTCTCTCTTTGTTTTTCCCCCCTCACTTATCATTCATGCTTTTGTTCCTCTATTTTTTCTCTCTTCTTAAAGACTACAGTGTAGATAAAAAATATTAGTACCACAGCTATACATTCAGGTAGCCTAGGAGTAACATTTGACTTATTCTTCAACAGTCTTAAGCCAAAAAGAAAGCCCCAAAGCAAAGAATCTATTTACTACCTTAGGAGTTTGCCATCCTATCCACATACCACAGATACTTCAAGTTCTTTTCATAATTCCTGTTTCAGGCAGAACTGTCACCCTGGAACTTGCTTAAAGATATTCAAATTGTTTTCATAAAAGCAGAATATAGAAGAAACGCTAGATGAGAAATGTTTTACAGGTGTCCAAGCTGCAGTGAAATGGGGGTTAATTGATAGAATGAAAACTCATTTCCAATTATCCATTAATTGCTAATCCTTGGCTAAATTTGGAAAGCTTTACAAGGTCTTCAGCAAGATAACAAAGCTTCATTAGTCTGCTTTCGTTCTCATACTAACTCTGCTTCCATCTGTTCCTGCTTTTTTTAGGAAGGAGGAAGCTTGGATTACAGAATTTAGGTGACAATCCTGCCCATTGGCTGTATTTCCAAAATACTGGAGCAGTCTTTCAAAGTTGAGGACATCAGCCCTTTCTCAGTTTGGAGCACTACTCTGGCCCCCTGCTGGTACTGTGCTGCAGTGGCAGCTATAATACTTGGGTATTGTGAACCACCTTGTTTCCCTAATGCCAAGATAAAATCTATCTCTACGTACATCTATTCACTAGTAAATGAATATGTATATATCACCTCTGAAGGCCTTTATGTGATAAACTATTCTGAACATTCTTCTCATATCAAGTGGCTAGTTTCATAAGCTATAGAATCTTTGGAATTAGGCTGACCCAGACTTGAATGAAAACAGATTGTATGTAAGCAATATTATCTTTAAGTTGGATACAACCATATGCACTCCAGCACTAGTTATGAGGATCAAGTGAAATATAATATACATACATGCCTGGCATCTAGTTAACTGTTAAGTGTTAGACACTGATCCACTCACAAAATTAAAAGAAAAAAAACTCTTATATTCTAAAAGTACATCATCCAACTTGAAGTTTCTCTGTGACTACTCTCAAATGAGGCAGATCTGTTGGAGGGGGGTCACAGGCAGTTCGTAGTCAACCTCATTCATGAAACACTTAGTAGACGCGAAGTGTTACATGCAGAGACCCGGACATGCACATCACCCACACACCAACCAGTCATTAACTCTGTGTTTAAGGACTTTTACAATTTGTCTTCAGACCTCCCTGGTAGTCCAGTGGTTAAGACTCTGTGCTTCCACCGCAGGAAGGGTGGGTTTGACCCCGGGTTGCGGTTCTAAGATCCTGTATGACATTTCTGTTACTCAGTCACTCAGGTGGGTCCGACTCTTTGCAACCTGATGAACTGCAGCACCCTAAGACTTCCCTGTGTTTCACTATCTCCCGAAGTTTTCTCAGACTCATGTCCATTGAGTTTGCCAAAGCACAGTCCAAAAAAGAAAAAAAAAAAGGCTTATACACCAACGAGGCCAAAATAATGCAATTAAAACAATTCTGAAATAGATTGCCAGTCCAGGTTCGATGCATGAGACAGGGTGTTCAGGGCTGGTGCACTGGGATGACCCAGAGGGATGGGATGGGGGGGAGGGGAGTTCAAGATGGGGAACACATGGACACCCATGGCTGATTCATGTCAATATATGGCAAAAACAACTACAATATTGTAAACTAATTAGCCTCCAATTAAAATAAATAAATTTTTAAAAAAGGAATTCTGCATGCAGTTTTTTTTTTTTTTTTTGGCCACACCACATGGCCTGTGGGATCTTAGTTCCCCCATCAGGAACTGAACCTGCCCTTGGCAGTAAAACCATGGATTCCTAATCACTGGACTGCCAAGGAATTCTCTGGATGCAGCATTTTAAAAAAGCACAGGAGTATAGAAACTCTGGAGTCTAGTCTAATTTACTCTAACCAAAAGTAGGAGTTGAGGTGGGGGAAAGGGAAATGGGACTATTAGCCATTTGATCTAAGTAAAATATTACAAGAAATCTCAGAGGTTCTAGAAGTATCACAGGGGTTCCA